CCATGGGTTGCGAGCGTTTGAATAGTAATATCAGTGCACAACTATCTTTCAAAGTGCCAGAGGTGGCCATTCGACATCGTTGTGCTATTTTTTTTGAGGTGCCTACAGTGAGGGAGGTATGTGTTGAGATTGCATTTTTAGCCTCTGATGTGACGCTGTCGAATTCATCATTGATATAGGCAAACCACTGTGTTCATATGAATACTATTGGTGGTAGTGCTGCTTGCCTGTCTATGACCTTTCGATATGGTCTGATGCTGATCAATGTCTTTAGTCTCAAAGGCAAAGTATAGTTCATTTCACCATTTAAACTAATACAACTACATGCACACACGCACATGTGAAGCTCCGATATATCAGTGTAGAAGCACATCCTACGGAAAGTAGAGAAGTACACTCTCAAAACGAACCCCCTCCCCCCCCTACCTATGTATATATATATATATATATATATATTTATATATATGCAGGTATGTATGTATATATGTATGTATGTGTGACCCCTCCCTCTGTCGCTTTCTTGCAAGTATTTCGCGCCCATCCTTATACTCGACGTTATAACATCGCATCCTTTTCTATCGGGTCAGATGGTGTCGCCATATCTCACATATCGCGAATAGGTCATTATCGCTGTCACATGCCTGTGCATCGCTGACAGACAGACAGGTAGCATGTACCTATATGCTTGTACTAACCTATGCCAGTAGCATGTACTTGTACGCATGCGCTAACCTATGCCTCGGCCTACTACATCCCCTATCACCCGCAGGAGAGCTCCCAATCGTATTCGTACAACGACACCACGCCAACGGCTTGGCCGGGTCAGATGTGTACCAAATGCCTCACAAAATAGACCACAACGCTAACCTGGCTGCTTTACAGGCAGAGCGTGTAGATAAGATCATTGCTGTGTGCTGTGTGGGTTCGTTAACGGAGAGCATCCCCATAGGTACACTCCTTCTACCCGATGATTACTTCTCTCTGTTTGGTCCGCTCACGTCGTTCTACAACAGTGAGAAGGCGCATGTGGTGCCGGGGATCGATTTGGAGTTGAGGAATGAGATCAGTGGTATGTGTAAGGTACTTGGCGATGTGTACGTGAACGTGGATGTGCGCATTAAGATGTTTTTCTCTTATGTATATATAACTATACTTACAGCATACATATACATGCATACATAAGTTGTGTGTTTCAGCGGTGATCTCTCAGTCCGGTGATTATATAAAGCACAGAGCCTGTCACTTTTAGATATGTACACTATTCTACGTTGATGTAAATGCTCAATATCGTGTGCACGTTTAAGTATGTATAGACTTACTGACTGATATACGCATGTATGTCTGTCTTAGCATGTATCTAACTATCAAGTACCTTGCTTATTTGTGTACACGTGTAGGTATGTATATATATTCTGACTGATATACGCGTGTAGGTATGTATATATATACTGACTGATATACATATGCATGTCTGTCTTAAAATGCATCTTGCTATCAAGTAGCCTGCTTATTTTTGTACACGTGTAGGTATGTATATATATACTGACTGATATACGCGTGTATATCTGTCTTGGCATGTATCTTAACTATCAAGTACCTTGCTTATTTTGTTTATTTTGTGTGTACGTGTAGGTATGTATATACCCACTGACAGATATACGTATGTATGCCTGTCTCAGCATGTAACTATCTATCAAGTACCTGGCTTGCATCTTTGGCCAATACGTCTTGCTATCGCTTATTTTTTTTCTTTTATACCAAATCATTTAGTCACAGTCGATTGCACACGCTCAGATACGCGAGAGGCGCTGTGTGTGTATATCATAGAGTGGTGTATGTCAATTGGATGTGTTGTGTTACCCTCGGAAGGCACTGATTTAAGTATCTATCGAATAACTGTACGTGTCGGTTTATACTATTCAATATTACTACGTCTCACCTGCAACTGCAAGGCATAGTGACTACGAGCCATGATACAGTACGTTACGGGAGATGTGTGCATGCACACACCATGGGGAATATGTATATATAGGACTACCCTCATAATATATTAACCAACGAGCATATGTGCATGTGCACACCATTGTGAGTATACATATACAGTGCCACCGTCACGATATATTAGCCAACGAGAATATGTGCACGTGCACACCATTAGGAATATAAATATAGTTATTGCTACCCTTAAGATATATTAACCAACGAGAATATGTACAAATGCACACCATTGGGAAAATTCATATACTGTACCACCGCCAAGATGTATTTAGCATAGGAGACGTTACACAGTCAGATCCTTAAGGACTACATATATCTAGACCACATAGAGTACACATATCCAATGTCATCCTCAAGCTCAGTATTCAAACCTTTACTTGGAGAAAGTTTAACCATTAAACTATTCAACAAGCGAGATGTGGATCAAAGGCATATCGTACTCACCTAGTACCTCTTACGCTTCAGAGATATTGACCAGAGGAGATATCACACAACTAGACACGCGAGAAGCTGTGTATGTCCAAACCACAGGCCCTCGGTTTGAGACCAGGGCAGAGGTGCGATTCTGCATGCAAGTGGGTGATGTGATCGGCATGACGGCCGCCACGGAAGCAACCGTGGCTAAAGAACTACAAGTATGTGCTAAATTTAGAGGGTACCTTACATATATGCATGTACTATGTATGTGTGCATATATATATATGTGTGTGTGTGGGTATGTGCGTGTGTGTGTGTGTGTGTGTGCGTGTATTTATATGTATATGTATATGTATATATGTGTACATATTTAGCGTATACACACACACATATATATATATATATATATATATATATATATATATATATATATATATATATATATATATATATATAGTATATATTATATATATAGTATATATACTATTAGTATTATTAA